GCCACACCTCCCAAAACACTCACTAAATATCGGCTTTATGGTACTGTTGAGGTTGGGATTGAGAGTAGGATCGCCATATCATCCTTGGCATTCTTTGGTCAGGTGATCTCTGGGCCAAATGCTACGAGCCTTGTCATGATCACCTTTGATCCCATGTGGCTCCACCATTGTGCATCTATACAAATCGAGAAAACAAATGATCCGAAGATATCAGAACAATGTACACAGGGCAGAAGTTTGTCCTTCCCTGGTCCTTCCCCCAACATTCTTAGGTTCTAGTGACTGCAGTCGGCCTCATATTCCCTCCAAAGTGGTTGAACCTAATAATTAATAGACTGACAATCCAGGCGATAACCATGGATAACCGATAAACCAACCAAGGGGGTAGGACCTGTCTCGTGCATGCACCCATCCCAAACAGGCGGCCACAAGGAAGCTTTCTAAGCTCTTCATTCTCCGCAAAGTCTTCCAAGCAAATCTGGCAACATCGCTCATCCTCTGAACCTGACAGGAGAAACCAGGAAGTTCTTCGATCTTGAGATCTCGATTGGAGTAATACTAATAAAACACAATAGAACTACTACTGTGATAAAATGTCCCATTGCTGCTGGGTCCATTTCTTCGGTGCGATTATAACTTACCGTATGTTTTTCTAATTCCATGGCTGATGTCACTAAAACTTGTCGACTCAGGGCACAAAGACCGCTGCTACTGCTGGACCTTGGTTTGCTGTGGAAGGCTGTGGAAGCGGGGCCTGCTTGTTTTCAAATCTTTCATTCAGAGTTCATAACCAGGTGTCTTGGAGATGACCAGCCTCAAATCGATTGATTCGTTTGATGTGTCTGGTCGCCCCTCTCCCATAACGCAGGGATTTGCTTGGAACTCAAGGGGCCTTTTCACCGTTGAACCGTTGATGAGGACGTGCACAAAATTCACAAACATGGACACCGTCCACGCACATCCGGAGTCATGGAACAAATCCACAAATCCTAGGCCCTGAGATCTGCGGGGTTTTGGAAGTCGAACATGTTTGGGCCAAGTCATGTGGAGCGTGACATGTGGACCGTGACCATGACGTGACTCGGAGGGCCCAGAAACCTCACCGTTGAACCCAACTCCCCGGGCCTGGTGGGATCTCCGCGGCAGAGAAGCGCCACAGGATGAGGCTCTGTAGATCGTCATCGGTGGCACAACCTCGTTGTGACGCTCCGAAACGCTTCGGTCGTGGTCTGCTCTTGGATCTGCTCTCCAGCGGAAAATCTAAAGCGGTCAGAGCAGAGTCTCGGGAGAGATGGTGTTCTGGGCCTCCAGGAGGCTTTCGGGCAACCCTGCCTTGCACTGCTCTCTGTGTGTGTGTGCGCATCTAGTCATGTGAATGACATGACGTTGAGTTCGGTGAAGGTCTTTCTGGACAGCTGCCCATACACTTGCGTGGCTTCACATGCGGATTCACCTGCAGCCAGCTCGGTAAGTGTTGCAGGCGAAATGCGTGACTGCATGACTGTCGGACACCTCTTTAACTTGAACAGCTGGGTAGTTGCTAAGACGGAGGCACTCACTAAAGTGCCAACCAATGCATGAAAACAGACCTTGTTACCCAGGCAAAACTCTGAGGCTGAGATGGCCCAAGATGTTTATCTAATTTCTCGTCTACCTGGTCTACATGATGTTCTTCTTCCGCTGTAGTCTGCCAGGCTCCTGTCAACAGGCTACGGGCCGCGACTTAATTTTGTTTTTTTTGTCTATTTTTTGATTTTGTTTTTTCCCCAGATAGCGAGGCTATGGGGTTCTTACTTCAAATAACAATGAGTTGCCCGTGCGCGCTTTCGAGACAGGTTGCTGGTGCTGGTGCTGGTGCTGGGTGCCGGTGCTGGTGCTGGTGCTGTGAGCTGGCTGTGCACGTGCTGGAGATAGGTTGCTGGTGCCGGTGCAGGTGCTGGGTGCCGGTGCTGGTGCTGTGGGCTGCGCACGCGGTGGAGACAGGTTGTTGGTGCGGCTGTGCACGTGGTGGAGACATGCTGGTGCTGGTGCCGGGTGCCAGTGCCGGTGCTGGGTGCTGGGTGCCGGTGCTGGTGCTGTGAGCTGGCTGAGCACGTGGTGGAGACAGGTTGCTGGGTGCTGGTGCTGGGTGCCAGGTGCAGGTGCTGGTGCTGTGAGCTGGCTGTGCGCGTGGTGGAGACAGGTTGCTGGTCCCGGTGCTGGTGCTGTGAGCTGGCTGTGCACGTGGTGGAAACAGGTTGGTGGCGCTGGTGCTGGGTGCCGGGTGCTGGTGCATGGTGCTGTGAGCTGGCTGTTCTGGTGCTGGTGCTGGGTGCTGGGTGCTGCTGGTGCTGTGAGCTGGCTGTGCACGTGGTGGAGACAGGTTGCTGGTGCCGGTGCTGGTGCTGGAGCTGGCTGTGGAC